AGCATCTAGCTCCAGGCATGGCTCTGCAAACTGACTTAACAGGGTCTGTGCTTATCCTCTTTCTTATGAACTTCCTGTTACCAACTCCCAAGGGGCAATTATGAAGAAAGAAGTAACAAAAAGTAATGTTGTTAGTAATAAGGCAGATTTCTACTATGGATAAATGTTTTCAAATCTGATCAAATAATCAAAGGATTCCTGAAAGAAAAATCTTAGGGGACAAAACACACTTAGCATTTGGTAGTTTGATGAAAAGAAATTGGAACTGACATCTAATGTGAGACTTACCCCATCACTGTAGTCAAGATTCCGAGCAAGGAAGGACAAGAAGCCTCGGTGGTTTGCACTGTTTCTGAACTGAGGGCCTCTGGCCTGAGCAGCACGGGAGGATGATCTCAATGGGATCTCCAGGTTGTGGAACTCTCCAAAATTATCAGCGGAAAACCTTTAAATAAACGAAAGTTGTATTTAGTAGAATTTAATGCAGTAAAGGCACACACCACTTTGACAGAGTCTTAGCAGTGTCTCAGGGTAAGTAAGAGGTAGAACAATTGTAGTGCTTTGGGGTCTGGACTCAAGTAGTTTAAGGTGAGTCTTTCAAAGCGAGGAATTTAGTAGGGTTGGGCAAAGTTCATAATACAGTGTTTAGGATGGGTTGATACAGGTGAGTGAGGATCTGGATAAGTCAACTGTTATTGATAAGTAGGCTGTTTGTCAGAGTGAGAATATTATTGTCTTCAATATATTGATTTGCCAGCATTTCCAGAAGCAAATAGCAAAAGTAATTACCGGTTTGCAATGTTATCTTTCCCAGGCTAAAGTTTTCCAGAAGAAACAATGAAGTCATGATGACATAAGTGATCTATAGCTTTATCTAAGTCATGTTTGTTGACGGTCTCAATTCTCAAAGCCTATGGTTTTAATATCAGAAAAAGTAGAACTTCAAATAAAAATATCAGGTTACAAAACTAGACATTATATACTAGTAAAAGGAAAATTAGATCAAAATGACATAGCATTGAATTATGTTAAAAATAATGGGAAGTTGGAAACAGAAAAAAAAGTTAATTATTATTGGAGATTTTAACAAGTCGCTTCCAAATACGGTTTGAATATTACAATAAATATGCTCAGATTTAATACCAAACAAAAAGAGAACACACACAGAATTAGTTGCAATGATCAACCATGTGCATGGCCGCAAAGAAAGCCTCAATGCATTCCTAAAATCAACACCATTTATAGTACAACTAAATATAATAAAATTAGAAACTGATGACAAAAATTCCATGTCTGTAAACTAAAAAAATAGTTAAATAACTTTTCAGTTAAAGAGAAAAAATTATAAGTTAATTAAAATACATTTACAACTGCTTGCCAAAGAAAACACTACAGGGTCAAAACTGAGAAACATATGTAGAGCAGAATTTAGACCAAAACTTGTATTTTAAAATATGTTCATCAGAAATCAGAAAGAAAAGAAAACAAAAACCAACTAATCTGAGCATTCAACTAAAAAAGTTTGAAATGGAGCAACAGTAAAACTAAGCAAGCAAGAAGGAAGGAAATAGCAAATTGGAAATCAATAAACCTAAGGAAGATGGTCAGAATGGATATTAGAATGCACAGTGGATATATTATTAATATCATTATTTGTCTTCAAGTACTATCTTCAAAGAAAACAGAAACCCAACATGTAAAACAAGGAAGAGGTGTTATTCTGGCCAGAGCCCTTCTACCTAACTCTCTTTCTTCGGTTCCCACTCACTGAGGAATAGTTTCTGAAAAGCCACCGTTTTAGAAGCCCTGTTGTAAAATAGGTCTTGCATGAAGCTGGTGATGGACTCACAAACCACTGAAAAGGACTTTCTTCACCTTTAAAATATGCTGGTGGAACAAAGTATTTTCTAGGGGGAAAGAAAGGAAAAAAGTTCTCAGTAACTCTCCTGTATTACCTTTAAGAGGTTCTTCAACAATTACTGCAGGATTGTTTTCAGAGACCATTAATTTTTTTTTTTTTTACTCAAGTATACTTTTGCTAGCATTTTCTTGACTCAAAATATTATAATAGTGGTAGTAGTAGGAAGATAGTATTTTTGAGAGGAAAAGTTTGTATGTGTTCACTACCATATTCAAATAATACAGTAGTAAATATCATGCATTTTTGATACATTGTAAGTTTGTTGATTTTCCAGTCTTCACACAATGCCAGGTCCCTGGGTGGTGGAGATGCCCTGTGGTTCTTGATTTTGGTTGCCAACAAGGATCCTGATGTCCAAGCCTTACCCCAGACCAGGTAAACCAGAATGTCTGAAAGTGCACTCAACATCTGTATTTCTGAAATCTCCTTTTGTGATTCCAAGTGCAAACAAAGTTAAGGATCATTGTAACAGGAAATGGTTGAAAAGAAACTCCAGCTTCTACTTAAATCTTACCCCAGTCTGTCCTTAGCAATTCTCTTTTCACAGCTCTATGAGTGTCAGAAGAGAACACTGGCACATTGATCAAACACGCATACAACAGGAAGACAGAAAGAGGAGTGATACACTGCGTCAAGATCCCAAAATGTCTCAACAAGCTGGATGATGGCCTGAGTCTGACAGAACAGAATTTCATAAAGACAAATAACAAAGCTCCAGTCTTGGGCACAGTAAACCAACTCCACAAGTGCAGGGCAATGTAGACGTGACTAAGCAACAGTACTCATGAAAAATTCTTGAGAAATTTAGTTCATTTTAAGTGCAGTGTGAGTCAACACTGTAATTTGGCTGCCAGAAAATAAACTCAGTCCCAGCCTGGGTCAACAAAGGCATAACGTCTGGACAAGGAAGACCCCTTTCTGCACGTTTATTAGAGGACTAAGTACCAAGCTGTGTTCTGAGCAGTATACTTTGTGAACATGGAAAACTTACAGTATGGTTAAGGAGGGAAATTGGAGATGTGATATGGGGAAACAAAAAAGGATGTTCAGCTGGGAGGAAAGTTAGCATAGGGAGAACATGACAGATATTCTCAAAATATCTGAGAAACTTTCATATGGAAGTGAGATTAGATTTACCATGTAAAAAACTCCAGAAGTCAAAAGCAATGGATAGATGGAAGGAAATGCTTTTCAACAGTGTTGATCATCAATAAAGGGAATGGACAGCCACACAGAGTGGAGGGTTCCTTGTCTCTGGAGGTATTTAAGCCTTCAGGCAAACTCCGGGTGAGGAGTTCAAATCTCCTGGACAGTCACCTCTCCATCTAAGACTTTACGAACCTATAAGATCATTGTATTTAAAAGTACTTTGGGGCCGGGTGCGGTGGCTCACGCCTGTAATCCTAGCTCTCTGGGAGGCCGAGGCGGGTGGATTGTTTGAGCTCAGGAGTTCGAAACCAGCCTGAGCAAGAGCAAGACCCCGTCTCTACTAAAATTAGAAAGAAATTAATTGGACAACTAAAAGTATATAGAAAAAATTAGCCGGGCATGGTGGCGCATGCCTGTAGTCCCAGCTACTCGGGAGGCTGAGGCAGGAGGATCGCTTGAGCCCAGGAGTTTGAGGTTGCTGTGAGCTAGGATGATGCCACGGCACTCACTCTAGCCCGGGCAACACAGTGAGACTCTGTCTCAAAAAAAAAAAATTAAAAAAAAAAAGTACTTTGGGAGTAAAAGGGAGACTTTTCACATTCTGCACAACTGCTGAAACCCCTTAGCTTGGCCCTCTGCAACCTGCCCACCCTGCCTCACGGAGGCAGCCGATGCCAGGAGCACCACAACGGAGACCCTGAGTGCTTTTCCAACAGGCAACTGCAGTCACTTTTCTTCAGATATCACTTCCTTTGTACAATACGTTTAACACTCATTTCTCTTTATCACCCCCTTTTTTCGTACAAACCCAACTTCTTGCAGGAACTGATTCTGTGTCTCTTTACTTCCTATGAAGATTCTGGACCACCCCATCTGCCAGAGTTTAGGATTCCACAGGGATCACTAGCATCCACCCGATAGCCTGCACTCTCAGACCTGTGGTTCCTGCTTCCCCATGCCACTCTAAGTTACCCAGACACGGGACAGTGGGGACCCTTCCAAGCTCCCGTCGGGGTCCCCGCCACAGTGCTGACCCTCTATCGGAACTTTACAACTCTGGGGTTGTTTCCAAACTTTGAGCTGGGTGCTGCGGGCGCGGTGTGCTGGGAGTAGGACCGGAGCCCCGGAGCCGCCGAGGACAAAGGTCGGCTCCCTCCTCCCCCGCGCACCCACCTTCTCCCGGCTCCAACTTCGCCGAGCGCCGCAACGTCCCGCCGCCGGCCCCCGCCCGACTCGCACCCCGGCCGCCGCTCCCGGGAGGGGAGGGGGCGGGGAGGGAGCGCAGGGCAGGGACCGGGAGGTGGCGCCGCCCGGGAGGAGGCGAGGGCAGCGGGGCGCTGCAGGGAGAGCTTCCGAGGGAAAGTGAGAGGGGAGGGCAGCCGCGCTCGGCACGCTCCCTCCCTCGGCCGCTTTCTCTCACATAAGCGCAGCAGAGGGCGCGTCAGCCATGCCCTGCCCCTGCGCCCGCCGCCGCCGCCGCCGCCACCGCCCCTGCGGCAGCTGCCGCTGCCCGGCCTGTTCCACTGCGGGGAAGGGGCGGAGGAGGGGGACGAGGGCTCGGCGGGCTCGGAGGGGCTGCCCGTCGCGGGGCGTTTGCGGCTTCCCCCTCCTTCCGAACAGCCGAACAACGCGCACCGAGGAGCCGTCCTCCCTCGGCCTCGCCTCACCTCGCCGGCCCCGAATGAGGGGAGCTCGGACGTCCGGTTTCCTGTGAGGCTTTTACCTGACACCCGCTGCCTTCCCCAGGCACTTGCAAAGTTGGGAACGCGGAGCCCCGGACGCGCTCCCGCCGCCTGCGGCTCGCCCAGCGGGGGTCACCGGGAGGAGCTCGGGGCCAGGGGACGAGGAGGGGACCGCAGCCTCGCAGGGGCGCCCGCGCCCCGGCCCTGCCCCCACGGCGGACCGGCGTCCCCGCGCCGGCCCTTCCACCATGCACTTGCTGGGCTTCCTCTCTCTGGCGTGTTCCCTGCTCGCCGCTGCGCTGCTCCCGAGTGCGCGCGAGGCGCCCGCCGCCGCAGCCTTCGAGTCCGGACTCGGCTTCTCCGACGCGGAGCCCGACGCGGGCGAGGCCAAGGTGGGTGTGCGGGCGGCTGCGGCGCGGGCTGCGCGTGCGGGTTTGCGGGGCCCTCGAGAACCTGCGCGGAGGGAAGTGCGTGCTGGCTCAACCGTGTGCGCGCTGCGGCCGAAGTCACTGAGCTCAGCGCACGCTTCCTCGGAGAAAAGTTTTCTAGTTTTGAATAGAAAGTTACTACTAGACGGAAAGCGGGTTACACGAGTGAAGGGGCCCGGAGAGGTCCTGATGATAGAGATCGCGTCACCTATTTCAGAGCGGTCTCCGCCGCGGCCACGAGAGGGTATTGAACCCTGCCCCGTTAGCCGGGCTCGGGGGAGCCTGAGTCCGTTCTGGGGGGGAATGTCCTTTTCTGCCCCTAGCTGACGAGGGGGACTCCACACAGCTCCTGAGGCAAGGATGACCGGTCAGCCGAGGCTTAATCTCCTGAGGGTTCGTGGCATAGGGAACACCAGGCGTTGTGCGCGATTTTAGAAAGAGTGGAAGGGAATTTAGTAACCGCGCTTGAGGGTTATAAGACTTCAGTTCACTTGAAGTTGGACAAACTTGAGATGGCACAGCAGATTAGAGTCATTTAGATCATAATCTAAAAAAGCAAGGCAAGGCTTTTTTTTTTCTAACTTGATAAACTCTACATTTCTAAAAATCTCATCACGAGATACAGAAAACTGAGGGTTTTTTGTTTGGGGATATTTTGTTTTGTTTTGCTTTTAAATAAGAGGTGTTTGTCCTTTGCCTAAAAATGTTGCTAAGATACATACTTTTGAGGCATTCTGATTTTCAAAAAGGAGTTATCGTGTTTGTGCCTGCTTATTGGCTCTTCTAAAAGAATATGTATTTACCTAAAAGTCCGTACCTGACATAAGGATGTAGAGTATGCTTAAGGGAGTTCTTGAACTCCTGAAGAAGTTACATTCGACCATGAGACATCACAGTTCAAACACTTGCAGTCCCCCTTGCTGGAACTAGACAGTGGTGGTTTATTTCAACTGACTGTAAGCAGAGAAGTACCAGTGGGGTGTTACCTCAACTTGCAGTTGACTTTGTGTACACATACTCAATGCGTAGAAATTAAATTGCCTTCCCAGTTATATTTTGAAATACACTTTAAGATTGAGAAGACTAATTGTTAAAAATCAAACTAACTACCTTTGTATTTAAATTTTGGGGAAAAATTAAAATATTGGAATTTGTAATTCAATATAGAGGTTAATGAAAAACTTTTTGAGAAAAAAACAATATACATTAAGTTGCAGAACAGAGTGCATGATGTGAATTGTAAAATAATTTTCAGTGCAGAGATTTACATTGCTATAACTACAGTGATGTGAATATCTTTCTATCCTTAAAATATGTCGAAAATGTAGCACTGGACCCAATGACACTTCCTGTAATTTGGGTCCTTGAATTTTGCTTTACCTATTCACTTTCTGTTTCTGCAAAGCCAAACTAGTAAAAATGTGACTTAGTAAGGCAACACCTCTCTATTGCCTATGGCAACTTTGGCTTACAGTAAGAAAGTGGGAAGCCGGAAATAAACTGACAAGCATTTCCTGGTAAGCCAGTTGGCTGTATGAGAGTCATTCACTGCTGGATCAGTCCCGAATGTATGTGCCCTTGCGTGCACTTACGTGTCTGTTATGTATAGGTGTGGGATTGGAGGATCAAAAGTTAATTTATTTTTAATGTTCAAAATTGTCATCATTAGCAATGTAATCAGATATTCCCCATGTCATCAAAATCGCTGGGCGTTTTTGTTCGCAAATGTTACTTTTCATATTTAACCACCTTTTATACTCCGTATGGTGAATATGAGTTGATGTTCTATATGTAATATGGGTTCTTTCCCCACGTGACGAAACATCATTTTAGGTCTCCGAGTTCCATTGGCCACAAGGCAGTGTATTATTGCTGCACAAAAATGTTACCCAATGAGTGAATAGAGCCTTCACAGGGCATGTGTCATTAATGCCTTCAGTGAAACTGTCATGTCCTTGTTATGAAGCTTGCCATGCAACTGCCAAGAGACTGATCCAAAGACTCCATGTCTCTCCCTAGTGGCCTATACAAGCACCTCATCTAGGTTTAAGCAGTAGAGAAGAACTCAGGAGGAACCAATTGCTAATTTTCTATGAACCACATAAACCCCAAGAAGATATTTCAGAAGGTAAATAGAAGATGCTAAATATACATAATCCAAATAGATGCAAATTTTTGGTAATTTGCACTTAGGTAAGCTTTTTTTTT